AGAGAGAGAGAGAGAGAGAGAGAGAGAGAGAGAGAGAGAGAGAGAGAGAGAGAGAATCAACGACATTAGGATAACGTCATCCACGCGGAGCTTAATGCTACGACGAGGTTCGCCATGCAGAATGCTGTACACTGCACAGTGCGTTTTCCAGCCACGGCGTCTGAGCACCACCGGTACCGACGTCAATTTATTACCTTACTGACGGTGGGAGGCGGTGGAATCCATCAGCTAACGGCCGACTGCGTTGCCTAACGGACGCCGTTAGTCAGACTGTCAGAGTGAGAAGCACAGATGAGTCAGATGACGTGGACAATGGCGGCAACTTTCGCGAAGTCAAATACAGTAGCGCACTAAAAATAGCATTCTGACGAAACCGTTATTACCTTTCGACCTTTCATAGATCGGACTCTAATGATCGGAGACGAGAGCGACAGCAATGGAACGATACGACAGAGCTTCCCCGGACTCACTGACACGTCACGCACTTCACTCCCCTCCATAACATCTCCTCGAGTGCCCCCTTCCCCCCCCCCCCCCCTCCCTCCTTTTTTCTCCCCTTGTCCCCTGCACACAGTGCACCCCCGGTCACAGAACGAGGTCCCTCACATCAGGATGAGATCGAGCCAGCCAGCGAGTTGGAGGTGATGCGGTAGGGAAGTAAAAGATGTTGCCTACGAAATCGAAATGAATCTTACCATGATTCCGCCCTCGGGGGGAAATGACAACGTATGAACTGTTCGCCTTGAAGTCGCCTTTGACTAACTCTTCCTCTACGTGGAAGAGGAAGCAAACGTCAGGACGACTGACACGTGGCTGCCTGTCATCGGCGAATTGACGATGATAACTGCCTTTAAAAGACAACGGCTGCTATCGTAGGATGTCTTTCTGGTGGCGACAAAAACAAATATAACACGATCAACCGTTGATCACGCATCCAACGGTTGATGATGATGTCGATGTTGATGATGATAGATAATGATGATGACGATGATGATGATTGCTGACCGATGACGTGTTGGCCACGACGATCACGGCGGCTTGATTGGCATCATCTCGGTGGGAAGCCTAATTAGAGAAAGAGAGAGAGAGAGAGAGAGGTTACCCATTTCCTTCATTCATTGATTGAATTCTTCTTCAGTCACGCTGTCGGCGGAAAATTTGAAAAATCACCGATCGTCCTTCGGACATCGTAAGTCAGAGCTTCAAGGCTTCGGCTGGCTATGGTGGTTATGGTGCCTATGGTATCTATGGTGGCTATGGTGGCTATGGTTGACCTGGGCAGAATGTGCGCCATCCGGTTATGGTGGCATCTATGGTGGAATCTATGGTGGCTAGGGTGGCTATGGTGGAGGGGGGTAGAATGTGCGCCATTCGGCCGGCTATGGTGGCTACGGCGGCTATGGTTGGAGGTGTATTCCAGAGAGCATGGCATGGGTAGCAGACTGTTCTGCGAAGGTGCAATCTTCGGGGAATCGGAAGGAAGCAGGACCACGTGGGTATGTATGCTGACGTGGAGGATTGAACGGCAAAGGTCCACCGACCAGCGCCGTGGCGTTGCTGTCCGATGAGGCAAGTAGGGATGACAACGATCCCGACATAGCCGTCGGGAGGAAGCCGTTGAAAGCTTGGGGCATACCGGATTTGGGAGACCAAGCATTTCCTCTTTCGGAAAGTTCCAGCAATGGTAACGAACAGGACATGGCGCCATTCCCGTGCGCGGCGGCTGCGCCCACTTGCGCGGCCAGTGCGGCGCACATAGACCTCTCCTCGTCGTCATCGCTGGGACTGGCGCCGTTGTGCTGCTGCTGCTGCTGCTGAGCGGACTGCAGCATGTGACCGAGGTGCGAGATCTTGGCGGCCAAAGCGCATTGATTGGCCTCGGCCGTTGATTGGGATGGGGAGGCGCGCAGGTCGACGGCAGCGGAATGAGAGGCGGGGGACCTACCGCGGCAATCGCCGGACGCAGAGTGGTGTTCCTGATGATGATCCACTGCGCAGGAGTCCTGGGCGTGGTCCCCACCACCACCGGGTTGTTGCTGCTGCTGCTGCTGATGATGATGATGATGATGACCACCGTGGCTGTGTGATGGGGACAGGGATCGCGACCTGACAGTGTGGCAGTCCAGACCAGAGGGGGTGACGGAGTCGAGACTGTACTTGGTCCCAAGCTGTAGGGAAACGAGCTGCTGCGCGGAGGAAAGGCTGCCCGGGTCCAACCCACCTCCTCCTCCCCCTCCTCCTCCTCCTCCTCCTCCTCCTCCTCCTAGCTGTGAGGAAGTCCCAGTTGAACCTGCAGCTGCAGCAGCCGCAGCTACACTAGCTGCCATCGCAGCACGTGCGGCCGCTGCCGCTCCACGTGGCGAATCCTCCGTAACACCAGACTGCGACCCCGACACAGGCGTCACACCGACAGGCACGCCCGCGGGCCCAGACGTGTGTGCTACTCCACCCCCTCCTCCTCCTCCTCCTCTACACCCCCCCCCTCCTCCTGCAACCCCTGCCGACGAGCTCGTGCACAGATTGATCCCACCTAGCCCCCCGCTGCCACACCCTCCCCCTCCTGGGCTGCCCTCGAAATGACTCTGAGTCAACATGGCCCTGCTACACGCCGTCTTGTCGGGATTACCCCCACTCCGAGGAGGAACATGTGCAGTCTGAAGGATCTTCTGGAGCGCCTCCTTGGCAGCAGGCCGGGCCCTCTCACACTTCATTGGGTCGACGATAATCTCTGCACACAAAACGCCACAACACGTAATTATTGAAACGGCCGACTAACACGTAAGCATCCATCCAGTGGTTAACGAGTAACCAACGTGTAAGCATCCTTCAAGCTTATCCATATATATCTATTTTTAGCTTACGCATGCGCGCGGTTGCGCAATTATACCGCCTTCATTCTTTTCGAAGAGAGTTGCCTATAGCGAACATAACAACATGCAACGCGAAACCGACGTGGACACAACCGTCCCGATTTCCTTGTTCCACTCAGTTCTCGCGCGCGCGCGCGCACACCCACACACAAGCACCCACACCAACTCACACAAACCCACACCCCTGGTGAGTCGGTGAAAGTCCGACGAAACAGTCTGGTACAATCATGCTCTTTCCTTTGAGTTGTGTATGGCGAACATGACAAAACACAGACACACACACACACACACACACACACACACACA